TACCGTGGCGAGGTGGAAGCGCGATGGGCTCATAAACCACGGGGCGTTGGACCCAAACCAACCTATGCTAAGGTTATCCGTAAAGACGTTTTGGAAGGTTGAGGGCCCGTCTATCACTTTTTTTCCAGTGAATTATTATTGGTTTGTTTGATTGTTTTTACGTCAGTTCGGTGAGCCAGGAATAGGTCACAGGTGGGCCTCGGGCAACGGGTAATGTTTTTTTTTTTTATCATGGGTTCTTATTTTAACCCCTTCTCTGCTGGACTCGCCTCCTTGCGGGTCTTGGTCCGTTAGGGAGGGAAAGAGGCCCAAGAGACCGTTACTCTGTAATTAACACAATGGAATAGATGTTCAAATGGGCGCAAACAATTTGATACATATAATATATATATATTATATTGTTTGTTTTGAGGAGAAGCAACCGTTTGTTGTGTTCGACAGCCAGCGTGGACCGAGTGTTTATTGATTTCCTCCTTGTTTGCCCACTTGCTCGATTGAGCGGTAGTTCTCAAGAAACATGTTCTTGTTTGAAGGCAGCTGGTACTGAAAAAAAATGTGGTGTCGGTGTTTCAGCAGAAACATAATGTGACAGTGATGGTGACCATGAGAAGAAATAGAGTCTGCAGGAGAGACAGTGGTGAAAGCACTCGCCATTAGTGAAAATAAAGATCCGTTTGCGTGACACGAGAGAATGCGCGTTTCTTGACGCCCGCTGTCGGCGGTGCCGCCAGCACCGTGCCGTTGCTTAATGACGATGTGGAAGAGAACCTCCTGTCCTGTTTACGGGGATTGCAGTGGAACGTTGCGGGACCCACTAAGGGGAGGCATCTTGCATGCAACACGATGCTGTGCGACGAGAACGGTTTCTTTTTCCCTTTTGAGTTTGACGCAGAAGGTTCCTCAGTCAAGCAAGTGGCTTTGGTTTGTCGGGGTTTTGGCCGTGCGGAATTGCTCGCCTGTTGAGACTGCGGTATGGCCAATCTCCCTTGTGAGAAGTTGCGGTAGAGGCAGGACTGCCACATGCTGACAACATGCAGCTGGCACGCAAGATGTGGGACCGCCACGTGTCTTACGCAGGGGAAGTAGCATGAACGCAAAAAAGGCGATCTGCGTAAAGGGACGCTGCGGGGATTTTGGCTGGCACCGCGCAGAACGACGACACGCTGTGGGCCCGCAACAGGTGTGTCCCCACCTTGGCCGCTGAGATGTCGATAGTGGGGTTTAGTCTGCCTACACAACGGAGAACCCCGCTGAGACTGTCCGCATGAGAATGCCTCGAAGGCGTTGCCTTCGTGTAGAAATGCACGTGCCGTCTGTGCCTCCCTAAGTGCAGTTTGATACTGTGCTTTGTTTTCATCTTTTCTCTTTCCGCCTCATATAGGCAAGGCACTTGCTGCTGCTACTATTCTCAACAACCCAACACAAACTCACCTCACGCCATGTGCCGTCGACTTCACGCCACGCCGTTTCTCTCACTGGCGGTGTTCCTACTGCTGTTAATGTACGGCGCCGGTGGGTGCCTCGCCGCTGCGCACCGCCGTGCCTTCGACGAGGTGTTGTGGGAGAGCGGCCGGCCGCCGACCGCGATGGTGCGTGAGCTGCCGCGCAAGGGGCAGGACGCGACGCAGGCGTACACCGTCGCCACAGCAGGGGAGGGCAACAGTGGTTGGGTGCCCATCCGCATCGCGGTGTCCACGGAGGATTTGACGGACCCCAGTAAGCACTGCATGGAAGAAGGGGAAAGGAAACCAGACTTCGGAGGAAAGAATTCATCGTGCACGAAGGAGGATGTTTTGACTTCGGATATGAGAAAAACCCTGGTGGATGAGATTTTTTATGTGGCCGTCACACTGCACGCGGAGCGTTTGCTCGTTCAGCGCATGAAGATTCCGTTGGTTGTGCCCCGGTTCACAGTGGAGCATGCGATTGCCCTTACTCTTGGCTTCAGCATGGAATAGATGAAGAAGCACGACATGCTGTTGAACGTGACTGGTGTGTGCGGCGGCACCTCTCCCGTGACGGTGGTGAAGTCACCTGTGACTTTGAGAAAGGCGAAGCTGCACTACGGCTGCGACACCATCCCGAGCATGGAGCTGCGCGATTGTGAAGGGGCATATGTGTGGTCGGTGCGCAACGCGAAGGACGAGTTGATGAGTCCGTTTGGTGCAACAGTTGCCGGATACTACACTGCACTGACGATGGCGGCGTTTGAGGACCTCGGCTACTACAAGGCCGTGTAGGGGATGGAGGAGCCGATGTCGTGGGGCAAC